TTTTTGAGTTATATCAACTTAATAAATGAATGGTAATGTCTCTTGATAAATCCCAGAAGTTGACAAAATAATAGATCTGCTGATATAATTCATGGAGAAAATGCTTATGATACTTAAACACTGTTTTTGAAGGAATCTGATGAGTAAATGATTTGACTGGCTTCCCAATTTATGCATACAAACTCACTGGTGTACTCAATGATGTTATTAAAGCCACTAAACAAATCTGAAGCAGTATTTTGGTGAACTGATTCAAAAAGTTTCAAAAGTCTGAATCAGTTTCCTCACTACTACTGTAATGTTAGCTGAGCGCTGTTCGGTGAACATAGAGTTGTCTAATTGGAGTTCATTTCACTATCAGCAAGAGAAAGATCACACAAGACAAGAAGAAGCTAGGACATTTGATGAAAAAGTCACATAGAAGAGAGAGAAGTGTGTGAGTGTATTATTGTGATTTGCTGGATCAGAGGACGGCGCGTGACAATAAATAATACTGACTCCGTTAACTTAAGCCGCCAATCCCAGCGCTGCCTTTTTGTGTGATTTTCTGTCAGACGCTGTAACATCTCTCTCTGTTTCCCTTTCCCATCATCTCGTCATCTCGTTAGTCACAGTTATTAGTAGTATAACTGTAGGCAACCTTCACTATTACTGTTGCTCATTCTTGGCGTTAGGCCTCTAACCGTAATTATTAAACTTTGATGTGTAACTCTTGCTGACCATCAAATCAGAGGGTGTGTTAGCAGCTGTTTTCTTCATGTTTCCCTCATAATCTCATCCAGCTGTTGTTATTCTTTTTTAGGCACCATAAGCAGATGTTCTCCCATCTCTTCTCGGCCCCTGAGTGCCGGGACTCATAGTCCAGACCCGTCAAACCGGCTGCTGTCTCGTGCCGCTCTGGAGATCATGGAGGTCCAGACTGTGGAACAGCTCGATCTCCAGGACTCTGATGAGGATGAGGAAGATTTCCTGGCTCTGGCCTGCCTTGAGGAAGAATTCAGAAATATGAGCACTACACAATTAGATGAGGGTGAGGATGGACACATTCCAGTGGATTAGATTTGTCTGGACTGCAGTTACACAAATTAAGGATTTTGAGTGAATTTTTTTTATAAGTAGTAATAATTGATAAAAAAGTGTAATATAAATGGAGGACAAGAAGAAATAAAAGTTAAGTCTGCAGTTGTAGTTAGTCTATTAAACAGCTATATAGTATAAAGCGTCTTTCATAGTATTTAATATATCAATTTTAGCAATTATTTTCTTTCTTTTTTACATTATATTGGAAAGTCTGACTAATTATTAAGGGCTATTAATGTTGCATTAAGCAAAAATAAAAATATATATTAAAAGAGTTAATTCTAACTAGGGATGCACCGAAATGAAAGTTCTTGGCCGAGGCCGAAACCGAACAAAATTAAACACTGGGCCGAAGGCCGAACACGTTTTTTCGAGTTTTTTTCCCCCATGTATTTTGCCAATTTTTTTCCCCACCATTGCATAAATTAAAAAGCCAAAATGTACTTTTTACTGTTTTGTCTTGCTTTTCAAAGAAAAACAAAATCAATTACAAAACAACAATTTAAAAACATTTAACACTGAACATTTTTAACATTCTAGCAGACACTATACCAACAAAGCACAATTTAACTTCAAAATGAATAAGTTAGTAAAATAATAACTTTTCAGACCCCCTTCTTGAATCAGGCAAGTATTTTTTTTTTTTACTGTACAATTAAAAGCAGCCTTGCTGAGAAGAGACTTCTTTTAAAACATTAGAAAATATTACAGAACCTAATTTGAACACTATGTGTGAATGTTATAATAAATGTATTAAAACAGAGCTGTTGTAATGATCATTATCATTGTTATTGTCTTACTTTTTATTTTATTTTATTTTCACAGAACAACAGTAAAATTACAATGCTAACATTTATGAATGTTGATAAGAGTTCTTGCTTTTTCTCAACTTTTATTTTGGCGGAAATGCGCAGGAAGACCTCAATGCTTATTTTTGTTGACAACGGATTTATAAATGAGTCTCATTACGAATACGTCGTACGTATTGCATTGTCACATGCCTTGTAAAAATTCATAAAAATGTGACTGAGCAACTGACGACTGTATCAGCGCAGATTTTCCTCACACTTTGGACTTTGAACCCTGCACTGTAAAAAAAATTTACAGCTGTGGTTGCCGGAATTTTACAGTAAAAAACACGGTAGCCACATTTTAGGTTTTACGGTTTTAACTTAAATGTACAGTTAAATACCGTAATTTCATTAACTGAAATAATGTTAATATACCAACCTATTGAAGTCCTGAAATCTGTTTTGTACCTTTGTGATACACTGATAACCACCAAATGCAGGTGGTGATGAGAAAGTCACATGATGAACCAAAGCCCATCACAAGCAGCTTTTAAATAATAACATTTATAGAAGGTGCACAGTATCATTCACAATTATACGGTCTTTTTCACTTCCAAAAACGGTATATT